TTTGCCTCGAACGTGTTCGAGGCGAACCGAACAGGTGTTCGTCCTTGTGCTCATGTCTACCTCGTGTCAGGCACGAAGTGGAGGTTCGTATGGAGGTTCGGAAGACCCGAAGTGGACCACTTTGGGTCTTCCGAAACATTGTTTTGCCTGAATTCCACGTCACTTTGGGTCTTCCGATACCCCACTCTGTGCCTGACCTGATGCCTGACACGAGGTACGAATGTACCCTAAGCCCGGGTCGGGTCAGCTGCCCTGGGGTCCTGACCCGACTACGACCCGACCCAACTCGAACCGTACCCGACTCAAGTCGCCAAAGGGGACGCATCCAACCGAACATATTCGGTCCGGGTCGAAGATTTTTTTTTGTTGAAACTGGATGTTCGATATTCGACACCAAAGGTCGAACATCCATATGTTCGAGTCGAACATGTTTGGGTTCGGTGAACAACCATATTTTCATTTCAGCCTCAGCTTTTTCCCGCATGTAGGAATGGCTTGGGAACCTCTGTACAGTTCGAGCAGGATGAGCATAACGGCGAACCTCTGATCGGTTCGACTCGAACATGTTCGAGTTGAACAAGTTTGAGTTCGCTCTTCCTCATCCTTATTGATACGTATCGCGGAATGGCATGCGGGGTATGTCGGAATGGGCTTATATGCTGTGTGCGAACATGTCCGAGTCGAAACACACAGGGGTTTGGGTTTTCGTTCCCTTGTCTTGTTGTACCTACCACTTGAAATAAATTCCTTCATACCAATCTACCTGGCTAGTTCCAGCTGGTGAGCTTACATGTAGGCTTACATCGAATAAATTGGTCTTTGCGACTTACAAGAGAGTGAGTTCAGCGAGAGCATTAACACTAGAAGGAATGTTGCCTGAAAGCTGATTTCTCAAAAGATCCCTGGGATGAAAAATGGAGGCAGCAGAGGCATAGCATATAATTACTCAAGTGTTGACTTGTAGATTGTAGAGCTTGGACATGAGCAAACACCCGAATCAAACCGGTTCAGTTTTTTTTACTTTGTTTTTTTTAACCGGTTAGGTGCCGAACCAAAACGATTCTAAACGAACCAGAAAGATATCTGGCCAAACTGGTCGAATCCTTTGGTCGAACCTCTTTTGGTTCGGCTCAAACTAGTTCTGTTTGATTCGACCAGCAACATTCATTTACACATGGTTGCTTTCATACATAGTTTATGTATGCATGGTTATTACTTCACGAGCCGCAACTGGTTCGAATGGAATCGGCACTAGTTTGTTTTAACCCAATCGGGAAAAGTAACGGAGCAAGGGTTCTCAAGGTGGTTCGACCAAAACCTACACATGAGCAGATTGACGAGCCTTGACTCGTCTAAACAGGTTCGGCTCGGGTTTCCCCCGGGTTTTTGGCCCTTTGTCTCGGATCTAGCCGAGTCGAGTATGCCTAGTCGAGCCGAGCGAGCCGCTCTGCTCGGCGAAGCAATTTCGGTGAGCCAGGAATGACCCGCGAGTCAGTTTGACTCGTTGCGAGGCCCTTTGGTTGGCTCGTCAATCTAATGTGTCGCGCGGCAAATTTGTCTAAATTCTCACTGGTTGAAATTAGGTTAACTGTGTCAGAAAAAATAAGAAAAAACAATGTCAGATCTAGAATTGCTCGACATCCTCGCGCGTGTTTTCGTGCCTCACCGGGGAGTTTCTAGATCATTCCAATCGTAGCGGCTAGACACAATTAGTCTGCTGTCCTATAATCGTTTGACAACCTCGCGTCGCACGTGTTTTCGTGCCTTGATTGAGATGCTCTAGATCATTCCAATCGTACCAGCTAGTCATCATAACAGTTCTGATCTAGGGTTGCTCGACAACCTCGCGCACGTTTTCGTGCCTCGCCAGGCACGTTTCCTCTACATCATTTTGATAGATTCTACTACTCTTATGTATCTTGCATTGATTCTATAACCCTAGGATAGAGATAGGCACCCAAACTATGTTTGGGTGCACAACTAGGGTTAACCCTAGTTTCGGGTTGGAACCCAACCTTGGCCCAATTATTTGGCCCCCGGGTTTTGATTGGGAGATAATTGCCTCCCCAATGATGTTGGCCCAACTTTGGCCAACATTATTGGGACCCCCCAATAATTCCTCAACGCAACTTATTGGTGGGGGCCAATAATGTTGGCTACGTACCCAACCACCCCCCCTTCCTTAGCTCCAACTATGTATAACCTTGTTATTCCTAATCCAACCAACGGTTCAATTCTAACACATTCCATTTACAGCAGGTAGACATCATTGTTCTTAAGGGACTGCTGGTTTACGTTCGCCAGAACTAGAACTGATAGTATAGCAAACCTGATAGTCGCTGCGTTCATGGCTTGTGAATTTAGGTTGGACCGTATAGTTTGAAGGACGTACTTCAATTCTGATCACGGCACGAAAGCTAGCAAATCGGCCAGTGCAGAAAAATACCGCGCTCAATCCAGGCAAGGAATCAAACGGTTTACAGTAGTCCGCAAGAAAGCACCCGCCAGTGGGGCTGCATCGGCCTCCGAGCAGGTGGGCAAGGCGGGGGAGAGGAATCAATAAATGACTGGTCGAGTCGAGCCTGGCTCGGCTCGTCACAAGCCAGTGTGGCTCGACCCGAGCCCTTTACTGGCTCGGGTTTAGTGCCCGAGCCACGAGGCAACTGGTCGGCTCAGCCTGGCTTGACTCGACTCGGCTCGAGGGTAGGATATCGAATTACAGTATTACTAAGAGAATCATGCAAGCAAAAAACAAGGAGCCCAAGTACAATCCCCTGCTTACATCCACCCATCATCCCAATCGACCCACTAGGCTTGCACTGCCTTCAAGGGCTGGAATCAAATTTGTCCATGCCCCTCACCAACCTCCTCGACTCTTCCCACCAACCCGTCTCTGAGAAGAGCAAGTACAGTTCATTCCAAGCACATGCAACTAGACGTACAGAATCGAAATGTAGTACACCCTCACCTTAGCTGTTGTGCAATTCACACTTAGCCACTGGCGAGGTGTTAATAGTGGGACAAACCCCCCTTGACCATACAAGAAGTAAGGCACTCAAACACACTGCACATTCCAAGTTTCTCGTAGTGCGACAGTATTGAACTATAGCCAAATGGCAAACATGAACATGTTCATGCTCGGAGCGAACATCACGGTGTTCGTCTAGAACAGCAAACACCCGAATCGAACACCTCCCTCCCAGAAAGTGATTGGGCAAACACAAACATGTTCGGTTCGCCTAACATGCGTGTTCGAGGCATGTTCGAACCGAGCATGTTCATGTTCTAAAGCTAACTAGTCAAGATGGTTATAACTCGAGACTATAACGAAAGTGACCGGGGCCGAGCTCGAACTGGCCCAGGTCGGGCCTGAAAAGGTTCGGCGAACCTTCTTTGGCCCGGGTACGTATGGGCAAACTGGGGCCCTGGGTTTGCTCAGCCGGCCCGAAGCGGGCCGAACATGCCTACTTGTGACTGTATGCTTGCTTATTCTGTTACCAGGTCTAGGACGTACAAAATGTGTGTCAGTAGGCCCCCCAGATCACTTGTTCTTACAAAACGATCCCTGGGAAACTGATCCGGCCCAAACTCGAACCGGCCCGGGTCGGTCTGAAAAGGTTTCGTCGAACCTTTTTCGGCCTGGGGTACTGATGGCCAAACCCGGGCCAAGGGACTGCTTGGCCAGCCCGAGTCGGGCTGAACCAACCGCCCTTTATTTTTGCCGGCCCGGCCTGGATCATCCTTACTTACAAGGTTACCAGGTTTGTGAGCAAGCCAATGTCAGTGGGGATGGAGTTGGTGAGCTGGTTGGTAGAGAGGGAACTGTCGAACACAAGGAGGCAAGTGACACATGGGGGGGAAAGGGGGGGGGGAGGGAGATGTGCAAGGAGATGGACAAATGGGTGAGAAGGTAGGTAAGACGCTGGTAGTGGCATGCGATCAGACATGAGCAGGAGGAGTCAAACACTGGCCGACCAATTTGACCCTCACAAGCCTAATAGCCAAACGGACTCAAGCTGACTTCAAGCCTGACGTTCGGGCCAAGCTGACTTCAAGCCTGGAGTTCGGGCCAAGCTGACTTCAAGCCTGAAGTTTGGGCCAAGCTGACTTCAAGCCTGGAGTTCGGGCCAAGCTGACTTCAAGCCTGAAGTTCGGGCCAAGCTGACTTCAAGCCTGAAGTTCGGGCCAAGCTGACTTCAAGCCTGAAGTTCGGGCCAAGCTGACTTCAAGCGTGAAGTTCGGGCCAAGCTGACTTCAAGCCTGAAGTTCGGGCCAAGCTGACTTCAAGCCTGTCCGGCCTTGGGCCGACTACATGGGTGGTACGTCACGAACCTAGGACGCTTCGTCAAATACGAGTCCTAGTTTGGCCTAACTAGCATTCGTTATAATCAAGGTGCAAAATGACGGCCGAAATATTGGAAATATGGCGTAATATATATTATCGTAGTTTATGGTTGTATAAAACGATTTAAAACGCTGCTTTGTTGTCAATTTGAGTTGGTACAGAATAACGGCCGTGTTTTACGGTCGAAAATTTGAAACGAAATTGTGTACACCAATTTTCTTGAAAATTATTCCACCGTCATTCTAGTATCGAGAATGCGCACGCGGAAACCGACATGCGCCTCGGTAATTTTACCGAGTCGCGCATTCTGCAAATTCCCGAGTCGCAATGTCCCACAATTCCGACACTTTCTCGAGCCGGCAATTTCGGGACGCGCTTAATTCGAGTTTCGCCCATCGCCTACTGTTTTTTCGCGCCCCTGTACAGTTGTTTTCGCGGAACCAACGGCACTCGCTATTTTTGCATAGCGCGAACTGAATGATTGACCAATCACATCAGTTCAACCCGGTTCTCCCAGATTTCCTCTCCAAAATCAACTCGACAACACCAGACCACTCAAGAAGGTACAAACAGCCCAGCAACAAGGCTAAGCAACACAATAACATTAGCAATTCCACAGCACTAACTTCAGCTCTGTGGCAGGGCCCCTGCAGTCATGGTTAGACCTAAGTCCCCCAACTGGGAGCACATCAAGATGGTTACTGCTGACGATGGTACAGTCAGTTGCAAGTGCATCCACTGCGGTGAACTGGTCACCGCAAACGCCACTAGAATTGGAGAGCACATCTTCGGCACCCCAAACAGCAAACGGAAGAACGTGGCTACCTGTCCTTCGGACTATGCAAAGCAAAGGCGTGAAGTGGCAAGAGAGACTCGTTCAGCCACCACCGGAGGAGGAGGAGGGAGCTCAGGCCGTGGCTCGACATCTACGGTGGAGTTGCAGCCTCTCCGCCGCACAAGGCAGAGGGACATCCGTGAAATGGCGGATGAGGCTGCTCGTTCGCGGCTGGAACTGTTGTGGGCTACTGCGGTGGCGGACAACGACTTGGCGTTTCGGGTCTCCAGTTCAAGGGCTATGCAGGAGTTCGTGGATGCGGCCATTGCCTTGGCGAAGCCGTTTACGCTTCCTTCTCCGTTCAGGGTGGGCGGCGTCCTACTCAAGAAGCTGGTGGCTGAAATGGAGGAGCTTAACAAGCCGATGAAGGACAGCTGGGCAACTAGCGGCGCCACTTTGAGTGTTGACGGGTGGACGTGCCTCAAGAGCCGTGGCATGGTGTGCGCGATCGCACACAATCACACGGCACCGGTGATCGTCGAGTGCATCGACTCTAAGACCGCCAAGAAAACGGGAAAGTATCTTCGCGTTCTTATCCAACGTGCCATCTGCAAGGTTGGAGATCGCCACGTTGTCCAAGTGGTGATGGACAACGCGGCGAACAACAAAAAGGCGGCTGAGTTGTTGCGTGAGGGGTTTCCCCATGCTTTTTTCACCAATTGTGCCGCTCACGTGCTTGATTTGGTGTTGCATGACTTGGGGAAAATTACAGCCGTGAAGCGGGTCTTAAATCAGGTCCATCGCGTCGTCATGATGGTGAAGGGCAGTGCATCTGCCGTGGCCCTCTTCCGCACGGTGTTCAGCAAATTGGAGCTCGTTCGACCGGGAGCCACCCGCTTTGGCACTCAAGTCATCATGATGACCCGCTTCCTTGAGGTGAAGTAGTCATTGAAGGAGATGGTGATATCCGAGGAGTGGCAAGAGGTGGCGGTGGCACGGTCGGATGAGGGAAAAGCCATGTTATAGTCACAATAGGCTTGAATGTGCCTAAAACGAAAGATAGAGAGCACAGACGGATTTCTGCACAGCGGCTTCAAACGTTGATAGCGTTCTGCTCACAGCTGCAAATGACTTGATTCAAATTGGATCTGGAGCGTCTTTACGTCGTCTATAATTAGCAATTTAGATTGCACGATTTGATAAAGAATTGACGACACAGCTTCGGTTTGAACGAACGGTACTATGGCAGCCACTATAGTCTTAGAACACAAGATAGGAAGAGTTACGAGTTGGGAATGACTCCCAGCTCCTACAAACCCCAAGAGCCGAGGTACAGTGATGTGGAACAGTGCCACATTGTCCCCAACCACGAAAGGTCTCGAAACTACCCTTCACTAGGGCCTACACCAAGTGAAATGTTACACTACACAAAGTAATGTAACTATCTTCAATATCTTGAGGTGTACCCTTTTGGCAAGCTTCGAAATCACTTGAGGCTTGACACCAAGGCTCGGGCTCTTCATCACAAACTCATCCTTGAGTTATTGATGGGTCTGCTGCACACACCTGCGACACGCCGAACGTTCGACACAGGACAAAATAGAAACCGCGCACGACAAAATAGAAACCGCGCGCGAGACACAAACGACCGCGTAACACGCGTCTAGCGATAACTCGCTATTGAGTCGACACACACACACGACATCATGACTCAACATTCACACACAATTATAAGCATGAAATATATATTATCCCATGCCCTCATACCATTCCATACACACACACATGCACGCACACGGACAACAAGCCGAGTGCAAACCGTAGGGTTGCACCAACAAACTCCCCCTCGGATTGTTGGCCTTAGGATATGTTGCTCTCTCAGTTCAGAGCCATCCCAGCCAGCTTGCAACACTTCCAACGCTGCTGCTCCACCAGCCTCTTGGTCATCATGTCAGCCGGCTGCCCCGTGGTCTTCACGTAGCGCAACTCAACTTCACCCGCGGTTACCATGCTCCTCGTCCAATGCCACTTCACTCTCATGTGCTTCGTGAGTCCATGCAACACAGGGTTCTTAGCAAGAGCAATGACACCCTGGCTGTCACAGTACAGTGGGGTAGGTCCTTGCTGCTCCTCCCCCAATTCAGCCAACAAACGCCGCTGCCACACAATCTCCCGTACGGCACGGAAGAGTGCCATGTACTCGGACTCCACCGAGCTCAAAGCTTGGTCAACCTGCTTCTTGCTCTCCCAAGCAGTTGGGCCTCCACCAACACAGCATATGAAGCCTCCCACACTTGTCATGTCCTCTGGTTCTGATGCATATGAAGCATCCAAGTAGGCGGTGAGGAACAAACGCCCGGGTTCAACACCATCCGCGCCCTTTTGGCGCCTTTGTGCCGCCGCCGAGTATTGCAGCCCAACGGTCGGTGTTTGGCCAAGATACTTGGCCACCCTCATTCCAGCTGCTACCTGCTCCTCATTAGGGCATTGCACAACCCTAGCCAGCTGCCCGGTAGCAAACGCGACGTCCGGTCGGGTGTTTACCGCCGCATACATGAGGCTGCCCACCAACGAGTGAAATCGGCGCCTCTCCTCTTCACCAACGCTCTCCTCCTCTGGTCCCTTCACACACTTGAACCCAGAGGGAAAGGGTGTAGCCACATGGCCTTCACTCTGCCCAAAGTTGGCAGCCAATGCCTCCAGGTACTTTCGTTGATGCACCCGCATGCACCGCTTCTCCACATCTCGTTCGATGTGGAGCCCAAGGTAGAAGCTCACGTCACCAAGGGCCTTGCACTTGAACTTGTCTTGAAGCTTCAGCATCACCTCCTTCACAAGGTCAGAAGAGGGTGAGAAAATGAGGATGTCATCCACATAAACCACCATGAAACTCCTCTGCTCCCCCTCGCCAAGCATGAACAAGGAGTGATCGGCCGTTGAGGGAGTGAAGCCGATCCCCTCCAACACTTCGCGCAGCTTCATGTACCATTGCCTAGGGGCCTGCTTCAGCCCTTAGAGGGCCTTCTTCAGCTTCCACACTCTGCCACTACCATCATCAAACCCCTCTGGCTGCGCCATAAAAATCTCCTCCTCAAGGATGCCGTTAAGGAATGCTGTTACGATGTCCATTTGCTTTACTACCCATCCTTTGATGGCGGCTCCCGCGAATAGGGTTCGCAGCGTCGTCGGCTTCACCACAGGGGCAAACAGCTCCTTGAAGTCCACCTTCTCCTTCTGCTGGTACCCCTTGGCTACAAGCCTAGACTTGTAGCGCTCGATCTTGCCGTCGGCATCCGACTTGATTTTGAAGAGCCACTTGGACGTTATCGCCGTACGCCCCTCCGGTAGCTCCACCAATTCAAACGTGTCATTCTCCTCGATGCTCTTCAGCTCACTCTCCATGGCCTTCTTCCACTCCTCAGCATCACTACTCTCCAAAGCCTCCTTGAGAGTTGCTGGTTCTCCCGGCATCTCCACCGGAGAGAAGAACGCGAAGGCACACTCCTCGTAGTCACTCTCCTCGTCGTCTCCGACCATCATTGCCGCTCCGGCCAGGGCTGTCTTGCCCTGCTTTCCCGGCGCATCATAGGTCAGCCTATTAGGGGGTTGAACTCTCCTCTTCCCCCTTCCTTCCTCCTCAGCTGCAGGGACTTGAAGGCCTTGGCGTTGCTGCGGCGTGGCTCGAATCCGTGGAGCACTCGTAGTACGGGAAGGGAGTGACGGTGCACGCTCGCTCACTTGCTGCACCTCCTCCTCTTCTTCCTCTGCATCATTGGCCTCCTCTCCCCCATTCACAAGGGAGGATTGCCTTGTGGTTGTGCTGCCGCTGCTCAGCTCCAAAGGCAGCTCCACATGCTCCAAACCGGAACTCTTCACCTCCCAAAACCGCACGCCTATCTTCGCCTCATTCTCCGCCTTCCAATCCTTGTACATGAAGTTCTCCATGAACTTGCAGTCCCTGCTCACCAAAAACTTCTTGGTGAATGGGTCCCAAAGAAGCCATCCCTTGCTGTTTTGAGCCATGCCCAAGTGCACGGCCCACACCGCCTTGGCACCAAGCTTGTTGTGCCGAAGATGCTTAGGCACGAGCGCCATGCACATGCACCCGAACACCCGAAGCATATCCACCTTTGGCTTCCTTCCTAGCCACTCCACATAGGGCACCCATTTGTCTGCTCCCACATGAGTCAAGGCTCTGTTCTTGGCCACACACGCGCTCCGCACCGCATCAGGCCAGAAATAGTCGGGTAGCCCGGCTTCAATGAGCAACCCGCGTGCCGCCTCCGTGATTGTGCGGTTCGCTCGCTCGGCGATGCCGTTCATTGCAGGGGAGTATGGCATGGTGAGGGAGTGCCGAATACCATTCTTCTTCAGCCACAACCCAAACTCCTTGCTCAGGAACTCTCCCCCTCGATCGGTGCGGATTGACTTGACTAGACGGTCTTGTTGCCGCTCCACCATCGGGAATCAATCCGTCTTCAACGTTTCAGCCACGTCGCTCTTCTTGGCCAGCACGTACACCCAAGTCATGCGGGTGTAGACGTCGACAATGGTGAGAAAATACTCAGCTCCAGCAGCTCCAAGCTTCAGGGGGCCCACCACGTCCATCACCACCTCATCAAGCGGTGCCTTTGCCGTTGCCTCCGAACTAGGGAACGGAAACCGGGTGAACTTGGCTTGAATGCACGTCGGGCAGCCAAGCACCTCATCGGGCTCCCCCTTCACACGTATGCCAGCAACCATCTCATTCTTCACTAGCTGCTGCAAGATGGGCAGGGCCACATGCCCCATGCGCCGATGCAAGGTGAGCCAATCACACTCCCCCGTAGCCGAAGTTGGATTGGAGAATGCCGCGCTCGCAATAGCGCCCCACATACTCTCTCCGTAGTCCTCCTCCGCTGCTGCCTCTGGGTTCTCCTCACCCTTTTGCTGCTCCTTGGTTGCTGCACCACTCTCCTTAGGTTCACTGAACTTGCTGGTCCCTCCAGGTTTGCTCTTCTTGAGCTCATTCTCCTTAGCGCGACCGTTCGCGCCATCGTCGCTACCGACCGCTCCATCCTTGGTGCTGATGCTTGCTGCCACTTGCCTCTCCTTAGGCATAGGGACCACTGGGATCTGCCACATCTCGTTGTAGACATCCCTGTCCTCATGAAGGTCCCAAAGAATTCGATCGCCAAGCCTTGCGGTGTAGGTCTTGGCTCCCTTCGAGTTCGTGTCCATGCCGGCCTTTGCCAACCGCCGCACGGAAATCAGGTTTGCAGCAAGGCTGGGCACCCAAAGCACGTTCTTGAGGCCCACCATCTTCCCATCAGCACCCTTGAACATGGCCTTGCCCATGCCTTTCACCTCTGCTCGCTGCCCCAAAGCTGATGTGACATGCTTCACCGGTGACGGCTCGAGTTCGGTGAGCAAGTTCGGGCGAGGTGTCATGCTATAGGTAGCGCCACTATCAATCACCCAATAGTCCAGGGGGTGTAGGGTCACCTTCCCCACAGCTGCTGGCTCCTCAAAGCCTTCATCCTTCTCTGGACCAGCCGGTACTTGCGTCGACACGAAGTAGAATAGACCCGGGTATCGATCGTCGCTCGGGTCCTTGTCGTTGTCTCCGCTCTTCATGTTTGCAGCTCCGCCACCGCGACCGCCACGGCCTCCACGGCCTCGTCCTCTCCCTCCTCCTGCTCCTCTACCCTCTTGGCCTTGAGCAGGGGTCCAACCATCAGGGAGTTTGTAGCAGTCGCGCCACATGTGTCCGCTCTTGTGGCAATAGTGACACTCGCCGTCGAATCGGCCGGGACCGCGTCCGTAGCTCTTGTCGTCGCTGCCGTAACCGCCACTCCTGCGGCCTCCGCCGAAGTTGCTGCCACCAAACCTTCCTCCCCCTCGTCCTCTGCCTCTTCCTCGACCATATCCACGGCCGATGCTCGCTGCCCCAGCGCCATCCGCACTCGCCAACTCACGGCGGCGGAAATCCTCTTGAAGGATAGCTCGCTTCACGTCTTCAAGCGAGAGGCGGGGCAAGTCGCGATTAAGGTTGATGATGAGCGAGGACCATGACTCTGGGAGTAAGGCCAGCAACTTGGTCTTCTTTTGGAGCTCACTGTAGTTCAAATCAGCTCCCTCAAGCCGCGTCAACAAGTCGAAGAATTTCTGCACCCCTTCTTCAACCGCTTCGTCTTCTTCAATTCGTAGTGCCGCCATTTGCCGTTCCAACACCACCGCTACCGCCGCTGTTGCAGGAGCATGTACACCCTTGAGAGCAGCCCATGCCTTTGGTCCTTTCTCTGGTTCACGCTGGAATGGCTTGATGTGACGGATCTGACTGCTCCCCAACGCTTGCCCAAGTAAGAGATAGCATTGTGCGCTCTTCCGCACCCACGGGCTCTTCTCCGGGTCGTTCTCGGGGCGCTTCTCCGTTCCTTCCATCACCTCCAGCAGGTCATAGTGGTCAAAGATGTTCTCCATCTTGAAGGACCATTCAGCAAAGTTGTCACCGTTGAACTTGTCAAGCCCAAACACCCTAGGCTCATCCCTAGGTGGGCCAAGACTTGGTTGCATGGGCGCCATGGCTGAATCACGGGGTTGGCCTTGAGCTTGAGCTTCTCCACTGCCACCAGCACCTCTGCCACCCCTTTCCTCAGGTCCAGACATTGTCGAAACTGCTCCAAGGGTCTCTGATACCACTTGTTCTAGCCACAATAGGCTTGAATGTGCCTAAAACGAAAGATAGAGAGCACAGACGGATTTCTGCACAGCGGCTTCAAACGTTGATAGCGTTCTGCTCACAGCTTCAAATGACTTGATTCAAATTGGATCTGGAGCGTCTTTACGTCGTCTAAAATTAGCAATTTAGATTGCACGATTTGATAAAAAATTGACGACACAGCGTCGGTTTGAACGAACGGTACTATGGCAGCCACTATAGTCTTAGAACACAAGATAGGAAGAGTTACGAGTTGGGAATGACTCCCAGCTCCTACAAACCCCAAGAGCCGAGGTACAGTGATGTGGAACAGTGCCACACTGTCCCCAACCACGAAAGGTCTCGAAACTACCCTTCACTAGGGCCTACACCAAGTGAAATGTTACACTACACAAAGTAATGTAACTATCTTCAATATCTTGAGGTGTACCCTTTTGGCAAGCTTCGAAATCACTTGAGGCTTGACACCAAGGCTCGGGCTCTTCATCACAAACTCATCCTTGAGTTATTGATGGGTCTGCTGCACACACCTGCGACACGCCGAACGTTCGACACAGGACAAAATAGAAACCGCGCACGACAAAATAGAAACCGCGCGCGAGACACAAACGACCGCGTAACACGCGTCTAGCGATAACTCGCTATTGAGTCGACACACACACACGACATCATGACTCAACATTCACACACAATTATAAGCATAAAATATATATTATCCCATGCCCTCATACCATTCCATACACACACACATGCACGCACACGGACAACAAGCCGAGTGCAAACCGTAGGGTTGCACCAACAAGCCATCCGTAAGCTCTTGTTGGAAGAGGCCTTTTGGGGGTCGGTCACTGCTGTCCTCGGGCTTATGAAGCCCGTGTACGAGGTGCTAAGGACCGTTGACACGCGGTCTCAAATCATGGGCCAGATTTACGGCCTCATGCTTGAGGCCACCGTGAAGACCAATGATATGGCTGAGGCGGCGGGTAAGTTCATTGAATGTTTGCTCTCGCCGTCCCTGTTAAGTACACCCCCTCCCATGAAATGCATATCTCACCTCAACACCCCTTCTTTCCGCATGTGCAGCCACCATTCTCGTGAGCCGCACGGGCCTGCTTGCCGCCAAGGACAAGCCCGGGTTCTTGGCTGATGTGAAGGCTATCCTAGCGAAGCGGTGGGATGGCCAGCTCCACAACGCGCTGCACGCCTTTGGGTGGCTTTTAAGCCCTCGAAACCAGTACGCGGAGGAGGTGCAAACTGATTCCGAGGTGCGAGCTGGAGCAGATGAGGTGATAAATGCAAGGGGAGGGGACGTGCAGGGGAGAATCAAGCTTGCAGCCCAGCTGGCCGCCTTTCACAAGGGTGAAGGGCGCTTGGGCTCGGTGGAAGCGCGGTGGGCAGCTACCCACTTGGTGGAGAGTGGGCGGCTGAGCGACGCGGAGTGGTGGGAGATGTACGGTGGGGAGGTGCGGGCATTGCAGCAGCAGGCCGTGATGACCCTTTCTCAACCGGTCATGTCCTCCGAGGTCGAGCGCTATTGGTCAGCCTTGGCTAGAGTCCAGCGGCGCGATCGGAACCGCTTGCACGCCAAAACCATGGTTGATGTCACCTCTGTGGCGTTCAGCCGCCGATCGCGTGCAGCGTACGACCGCAAGGAGAGGGCACGCGCGAAGCTGTACGCCGACCTTAATGACGGCACGCTCAAGGAGGGGTGCAGCGTCGTACCACTTCCAGCGGTGGAAGACGAGGGAGAAGAGGAGGAGGAGGAGGATGAGGCCGAGGCGTGTACCATCGATTGGTCAATTTTTGGGAATATAGGGAAGCGGATGCGGAAGGGGAAGCGCGGCTCCAACAAAAACAAAAAGGCAAGGAAGTCCACTGGGTCCCGTAAGGGAAAGGGGAAGGGATTAGAGTAGGAGGAAGAGGCCGAGGCGGAGAGCAGTGGGCCGGATGAACCAGCCAAGCGGAAGACCAAGGGGGTCAATCCGTGGGACTGTAGTGACGGTGAAAGCGGGGAGGAGGAGGAGGAGGAGGATGAGGAGGAGGAGGAGGAGGAGGAGGAGGAGGAGGAGGAGGAGGAGGAGGAGGAGGAGGAGGAGGAGGAGGGGGGCTGAATGAGTGCACACTAGACATGTTTGAGTTTAATAGCACGCTTGCTAGGCATCCGTGGGATGGGAGGGAGTGTAGTTCTGGTGAAAGTGGGGAAGAGGAGGATGAGGAGGGGGAGGGTGAAGAGTGTGAGGGGGAGGGAGGAGGAGGCGGTGGAGGAGGAGGAGGAGGAGTAGGGTAGGGGTGAATGAGTGCACACTAGATATTTTGTTAGCAGTTTAACTCTTGTTTGCTAGGCAGGCCAGTATTAGAATAATGTTTAGCCTTTTTAGTGTGTTTTTTTCCTGCCACAAACTTTCTAACAAAAAAACGACCAAAACTTTGAAATCTGCCCGTAAAATTCAGTCGTAATAAACGAACCGTACTTTTCAGAAACCGTCATTTTGCACCTTGGTTATAATCACATTTTTTAAGGTGGCTTAATTTTCTGTAATGTATGTGTCAGTTGCTCAATCCACTAAAACTTGGTAGTGCAATCAATTCTCGCAAAATATCACCATCTTCCTAGAAGGTCGCCCAGCTTGTTTCCCACGTGGCTCGGCCGGCTCATGGCAAACAAATAGTAGTACTAGTAGTACCATCTTCGTTGCACATTACGCAGTCCTTTTTGAAAGAGGAAAACAATACTATAGGTGCTTGGATAGTTTTTATACAATTTGCACATCAATCAAGACTTTTGAAAACGTGGAGGATTGAGCAAACGGCCCGGGTGGGTCGGTTCATCCCAACCTGGGGTTTGGCCGGGTTGGGTCACTCCTCTGGTGGGCTCGATCTGACCAGGTCAACTTGACCCAACCTGGCCCGACTCTCGGGCCGGGATTTGCTAACGGGTCGACCTGACCCGACCTCGGGTATATGCCGACCTGACCCCTTTAAGCCAGTCGGGTTGGGGAATTCCTCAGGTCGGGTCGCCAAAGAATCATCGTCTTACACAAAGGTCACCCAGCTTATTTCCCACGTGGTTCGGCCGGCTCATGGCACACAAATAGTTTTAGTAGTAGTACCATCTTCGTTGCACGTCCCGTAGTGATTTTTGAAAGAGAAAAACAATACTATGGATCTTCATTGAATTTTGATTAAAAATGCACATCAATCAAAACTTTTGAGAACGTGGAAGGATTGAGCAAATGTCCTGGGCAGGTCGGTTCAACCAGACCCGGGGCTTGGCCGGGTTTGGTCACACCTCTGGTGGGCTCGACACCACCAGGTCAACCCGAACCAACTCGGCCCGATTCTTGGGTCGGGATTTGCCAGCGGGTCGACCTGGCCTGACCTCGGGCATATGCCGACCCGACCCCTTTAAGCCGGTCGGGTCGGGGAATTCCTCAGGCCGACCCACCCCTGGCCGAGTCGACCCAACCCGAGCTGAGCAAAAACGGGTCAGGGCGGGACGGGTCGACCTGTTTCTTAAGTGGAAGTGGAACCAAGTTACAGGAGCGTAAGGGCAGTGAGCTTTGTGATTGAGGAGGGCACAGATCCTGACAGCATGTTGTCGTCGAGAGTGCTGTTGGTGGTGTAGGGGAAGGATGCATGGGAAGAATGGTTCCGACTTCATTTGTGTTTGCAGGACCAGACCAGACCAAGATTAGAAAAGGAAGGCATGAGTAATCTACCAAACCAGAAAGTGGGTTCCCCTGTTCGAAGTTTGACGATTAAGTGTCGGACCGGGCAGGTTAGAACCGAACAAGAGGCCGTTCGGTTCGAAAAAAGTCCAGGTTCGGATCGACTAGCCCAAACATAAACGCACACTAGTTGTAATGCTTGGGTAAAATCGTTATTTCAGCTTCCAAAAGACAGGTTGTCCTAGACACCAGTTGAAACCTTGGTGGGCTTTTTACTAAAGACAATCCATGAGAATGCTCTAAGATGGGGAGGGGAGTGTGCGGAATAGTGTTAGATATTCAACCGATTGAACCAGTCAAAGGGATAGGTTTGACTCAAACTGGCTGGCAGAAATAAATTGCTGTTCGATTCGCATCAAACTGAGCACGGTTTGGATTTTTGCTCATGCCTAAACAGAATGGAGGTAGAGACAGGAAAGAAATGTAGAGGTAGGGGAGGTGAGGAAGTCGAGAGACGAGATATTTCGGAGGGAGTACACATGAGCATAAGTCTGAGCTGACGCTTCGGCGTCGGCTTGTCGCCTTGGCTCGTCAAGCCAACGATCATGCTCCGCCGGCTCGGCTGCTCTCTAGAAAAGCCGGACTCGAAGAACTTGCACTGAAGTTCCGGCAGTGGGTTGCTACGAAAATCCGGAGCCAGCTCGTTCCGGCTCGACCAGCTTGCCAGCGGCGGACGAGCCACGAGCCGGGTCAGCTGCTCGCCCGGCTCGTTGAGGCCGAGTCTCCGGCTCGGCTTGTCAGCACGCTGGCTCATGACGGCTTAAGACCAGCCGCCTTGGCCCGAACTTTTGCTCATGTGGCAGAGGGGAGCCTTACAGCGCTGAGAGAGATGGTACTGATCCAATTTCAGCAGGGATGGAACCCGTCAGCTGATTACTCCTCAGATACCTGTTGTTGCATTTGAATGCAAGAAGGAAGATTTTTACATGGGGACGCACAAGGGCAATGTCTCATGTTAAACGGAGGACGGAGGGATTTTACCGACAATATGAGCCTCCAGAGAGTGAAATGGTAAAAAGGACGAGTTAGTGGGATAGGATAGGTTATCCATTAGGGAAACAGAATGACACATGACTGTAAATAGCGGGCAAGGGTACGAATGGGGGCAGACTGAGGTGCTGATGTAGGCATTGCAGGAGGCACACTGCTGTGATATTACTTGCCTCCAATTCTTAATTCAATATTCAAACCAATTAATATTTTCTATTGCCTTGTTGTGGCTAAAGTTCCTTAAAAAAAACCACCAACAATGTAGTACGGTGAGGACAGCAGAAGAAAGAGAGGATGGCGAAGTGGGGTGTGAATTGGGGAGCGCTTGGAGGGAAAGATGGTTGCTCGATAGGAGACAAAGGCAGAACAAGAGAGCCGTGCATCTGATGTACAAAATGCTCACAGAAGCACCAACTTCCTCATTGAGCCAATCTCTGCAGGAATAGAGCCAGTGAGCTGATTGTCAGAAAGATAACTGAAGTGAAACGTGATGCAGATATGATGGGATGGAAGAGAGAGGCAAAGGCAAAAAACGGAATGCCAAAGTCAGCAGGGGCAAGAAAGACGAGGCGAAGTACCTTGATGAGAAACCTGTTGTTGAAGGCGTCTCTGCTTCCCAGATCCGGACAAAATTAATCAGTATAGATGAAGAACAAGGTAGTTGGCTAGGGTGGGATTATCCATCGAGAAAACGAAATGTCAAGGAAATGGGGCAGAAAGAGGTGGTTACGAACCCATTGCGGAACGCACACGACACTAGGGTTGCAAACAGCACTTCGGTTTGGCCTGATGGGTCAGGTGGGCTGACCAGGCACTTAAACATGTTCCGATTCTAAAAGGGCGGGTCGACCCGGGATTTTGAACACTCTGGCCCGGGTGGACCCGACCCGACCCATGCCAATTCGACGCAGGCTGGCGAGGGAGATTAATGTTGGAGTAAGCTAGATTTTCTGACATTTATCATGTTGTTTGTTATTCCGCCGTGTTTAGAGCAAGCCTAGAGTTCTAGCTAAACTGAACACACCCTAAGTTCGATTACGTTTTTTCCAACTTCCTTGCTTTAATGTATTTCGACACTACTTCTAAATGCAATTTCTTCTCTCTCTCTCCCTCAACCATGGCTGCCAAGTATGTCCTCTTAACAAATAAAGGCCTCAGCTAGGCCTTTCACGAATTAGGAAGCCTCAGGCTGAACCACAGATATCGTTTCTGCTCATGCCTAACGGTTACCATTTACCTAGGCACGAGCAAAACTCGAACCCAAACCGGTTCGGGTTGAACTGGGTTGAATTGAACCACCAAACCTAGTCGACCCAGTTGATCCGCTCTGGGCCGAAACAGCTTGATCAGCTCATGGTTCGATGTTCGTGTTCTCCAGGTCGCACCCAAAAAAGTATACATGAGCAAAAAACGTCACCACCAGGTCCACGCAAATCTGGAATTTGCTGTGCGGAGCTGGCATTTCGCGGTCACACTCGTGCGGGTCTCGCTGGCTAAACCATGCCGCGACTAAGGACGAGTGAACAACAACTGAGTTAACCGGATGGTACTGCTCACCAATCTACCTGGCTGATGTGGTAGGTATACGTTGAGGACCTATGTTGCACGCAATGGTATTGGCTGACATACACGGTAGTACTACGCGACTTGCCTACTTGTGTGCGACTTACAAGAGGGTGACTTGAGCGAGGGTACTGACACTAGCAGGAATGCTGCCTGAAAGCTGGTTCCTCGAAAGATCCCTAAGTTAAAAAAGGCAAGCAACAGCGGCAACGAGAAAAATGCTCAATTGTAAGCACTATGATCTATATTATCGAGGAACGCAAGAATATTGACCAACACAGACAGGAGAGTGTTTATGGGGGCAGGAGAACGTGCTGGAGTAAGCTACAGATCTGGAGTGCAAACTTGCAGCCGACGCTCTGTGAGCCAAGCGCGAAACGTTTTGACGCATGTTTTTATGCATGACGCTCATGTTGGGACTCGGTTTTTTTTTTCGATCCACTGGTACAAGCAATACTGCACGTCAATTCGCAAATTAGGGTTTTTTCTATCCACTAGCACAAAGTGCAAACTCAATATCGCCAACAATCGACGACCGCACTGGCAAATCTACCGTTCCCCCGCTAGAACACGGGTTTAAACACTCTCCTTAATCCTCCCTTTCCCCACTTTAAGGGGGGCGGCAGGGGGGATCCGCACAAGGGAAGGCGCGGCTGAATATTTCCTTATGCTAACTAAATTTTCTTCATGCTAACTTGCCTCACCACCAGAGGTTTTTCCTTTCTTGTAACGAGTAAAAAAGTAGTCGTCTTTTTCCGCGAGTAGCAAGTCGGGCAAGTGCAAAATGACTCGTAGCGAGAAATACTCGCCTCACCTTGTTACGCGAAGAAGTCGGCAAAAAACGAGGCGAGTATTACTTGCCTCGCTTTTTGCCATGTCTACCTAGCAGGTTTGAGGTTTGAGGCAAACCGTTCCTGGTTCGCTCTAGACTTAAAGATCCCAACCATCCACATGCAATAAAAGGCAAGCTGAACTAGATGTGACGATTTTGCATGCCAGATCTCGACCATCAGGGCAGCGTACCCACCCTCCCCTTTCCCCCCACTTCACCAAAGCGGGTTCTAAAGCCATCTAAGTCGAGATCGTTATAACTTGGGACTATAATGAAAGTGGCCCGAGCCGAACTTTAACCGGCTCGGGTCTGGCCTGAAAAGGTTCGGGCGAACCTATTTTGGCCTGGGTACATGTGGCCGAACCCAGACCGTGGATTTGCTCAACCGACTCGGGGTGGGCCGAACGGCCCGTGCTCATGCCTACTTGTGAGTCGTGACTGTATGCTTACTTATTCTGTTTGCCATGTCTAGGATGTACAAAATGTGTGTCAGCAAGCCCCATAACACTTGTTATAATACCAGCCCCGAGAATGTGACCCGGGCCGAACTTGACCGGCCCTGGTCGGGCCGAAAATGTTTGGTCGTACCTTTTTCGGTCCGGGGTACTCATGGCCGAACCCGGGCCAAGGGACTGCTCGGCCAGCCCGGGTCGGGCCGAGCCAGTCGCCCTTTTGCAGGCCCGGCCCGGTTCAACCCAGGCTGAACCTCATCCCTACTTACAAGGTTACCAGGTTTGTCAGCAAGCCAATGTCAGTGGGGATGGAGTTGGTGAGCTGGTTGGTAGACAGGGAACTGTCCAACACAAGGAGGCAAGTGACACATGGGGGGGAAAGGGGGGGGGGGGGGGGGGGGGGGGGGGGGGAGAGGAGGGGGAGGGAGGGAGATGTGCAAGGAGATGGACAAACGGGTCAGAAGGTAGGTAAGACGCTGGTAGTGGCATGAGATTAGATATGAGCAAGAGGATTCAAACTTGGGCCGACCCGATTCAAACCTCACCAGCCTAATAGCCAAACCAGGTCGAGTTCCAGTCGGTTCGGGTCAAGCTGACTTCTAGCCTGGCCGGCCCATGGGCCGACTATATGGGTTTGGCCACTGGCGGTTCGCCTTCGTCAAATACTAGTCCTAGTTTGTCCTGACTAGCATTCGCTTTAATCACATATTTCCAGGGTGGTTTAATTTTCTCTAATGGAAAAGCTCCCGTTGTTATTAAAAGAGGAAAACACTAATATGGAAATTTTTTTTTTTTTTTGATATAATTCGCACAACAGTCAACACATTTAGGCACGTGGAAGGATTGAGCAATCGGCCCGGGCGAGTTGGGTCAACTCGTTTCTCAAGTGGAAGTGGAACCAAGTTACAGGAGAGTAAAGGCAGTGAGCTTTGTGATTGAGGAGGGCACAGATCCTGACAGCATGTTGTCGTCGAGAGTGCTGTTGGTGGTGTAGGGGATGGATGCATGGGAAGAATGGTTCCGAGTCCATTTGTGTGTTTGCAAGACCGGACCAGACCAAGATAAGAAAGGGATAGGGATGAGCATAACCCGAACGTGTTTGTCTCGAACTCAGATGAACGCTTGCCTTACCTGAACCGAACGCATTCAGTTTGGGTTGAACCAATTTTGAAGAACAGGTGTTCAAGTCGACCACTTTAGTGTTTGGGTCGAACACCAATGTGTTTGACTCGAACTCAAATGTGTTCGGTTCGAGCAGCCACCACCCCCCTCCCCCCCCCCCCCCCCGCCCCCCACCTTCCACAGCCCCATCACCCCTGTCCACAGCCTCCAACCCCCTCCACAGCCTCCTCCAGGTTTTCCTCCTCGAGCCCCTCCCCTTCCAGTGACGTTCCACTTCAATCTCGACCTGGACATTTCAAACGCTCGAACATGTTCGTGTTCGACACGGTTCGAGTGTTTCAGGCGAACATGTTTGACCCGAGCAGTATATTGTTTGAAAAAAACACTTTTTGCCAAAAAAAAAAACAGTTCGGTTCCACTCGAACATGTTTGAGTCGAACCGAACAGGGGTTTGCTCATTTGCTCATCCCTAGAGAGGGATGGTATGAGCAATCTACCGAACCAAACCTGTTGAGTCGAACCAGAAAGAGGATTGCCCAGTTCGACGTTCGAATAATAATGGTCAGACTGGGCAGGTTCGAACCGAACCAGAGATGGTTCGGTTTGGTTCGATTCGAATCGAACCAGTCCAGTGTTAGAATAGGCTGTCAACACTTTTGTGTACTCTATTTTATATGCTGTAGGTCATTTGTAGGTTAGGTGTAGGTTTGTAATCCCAACCCTATCTGGTTGGGATTCCCCCATAATCCAACAAATCTGCCAACTCATCATTGGAGATTTGTTTGGATTCCCATCCCATCCTTTCCCTAGCTTTGCTCAACCCAACCTTGTTTGTACTTAAGGCATAGTGCCTTCTTTCTTAATCAATCACTTCAAGCTTCATTTCTAACATCCAGGTTCGGATCGACCAGCCCTAACCTAACCCCACAGTAGCCCTAATACTTGGATAAAATCGTTATTTCAGCCCGCAAAACACGGTTTGCCCTAAAGACCTATTGAAACCTTGGTGATTTTACATGAGGACGCTCTTAAAAGCTGTGGGGGAGGGGGGTGGGGGGGGGGGGGGGAGGGGGGTGGCCGGAATTGTGTAAGATAGTCGAACCGATCGAACAAGTCGAAAGGTTAAGTCTAAGTACTATGCGGAAGCGATTAAACTCGACTCACAAACGTAAGTTAGGCAACACTTAACATCACTTGTAACCCCCCGAGTGTGACAGCATGTCACCTCATAGCCAAGGGCGTAGAAAACAAGTGAGTAGTTATGCTCAACGTAGCTTATAGAGTGAGTGTTCTGGTCGAGCAGAGTTTCGGCAGCACTTCGTTGTGTTTCTACTCTCGTTAATACGTAGTAGTAGAATGTACGCTTAAGAAAATCATAGAAGCATTGTTAAATAAAACACAAATACAAGCACACATATATGAGAGGTCCTAGGCACACAAAGGAAACACACAAGGCAGTTGTCAAACTGTCGTCCAGGTCTTCGCCTTGCTGTCATTGAAAACGGTTGTTTAACTGCTCTTGAATTTGGCTTGATTTGCCACTGTAGAATAACCGTCTTCAAACTGCACCGCTGCCAAATTCTCTACTGACTCCCCTCATGAACATGCATGATTGCTCGTGTAGAAATCATGAACACTCGTGTGGGTTTACCGTTTTCTTCAGTTACAAACGGACTTTACCGTTTTGTACCTCTGTCGAAATAATGACGCAAAGCAGCGCGACTTTCTGGCGAATTTTTCTGCACGCCAAGTCAGCGCGAAATCCTGCTAGTCAACTGTAGAATCCCGAGTGCCCCACGGGCCCCACATGCCCCTCATCACGACCAAGATATTTCTCGGTCGTGCAGGACAAGACGATCGCTGACGCGATCGTGCGTTGTCCTGCGCGTGACGGAGCGATCATTCGCTCCGTCCTGTAGCGATCGTGCGTACTGTGCACGATCGAAACAGTGGCGACACACGCGCATGTTCTGTCAGGCCACACGCGTGTGTCAGGACCCCACGCGCGGGTCCTGACTTCGCGCACTTTTTAAATGACCAGCGCGAAATGGTCAACGGGGCTGGTCAAACAATCGAGCCCCAACCAAACACACTCGACACTCACAACAGCGCTCATGAAATTAGCTCAATATTCATGAAACACAGAACATTCATGAAACACAGAACTTTCACGAACGCGCATGTTCGTCCATGAAAAGACATGAACGTACATGAGCCGACATGAACGAACATGAGCCGACATGAATGAACATGACTCGTCATGATCCGTCATGACCGATCATGATCCCACAGCAACAACACATGAAACGAAATGCGAAAACGAATGCACACAGAACACACACAAAATGCATGACATCATGCAGGCGGTTGCAGTGCAAAAATAGTATTTTGCACCCAACAGGTTTGTAATCCCAACCCTATCTGGTTGGGATTCCCACACAACAAGGAGTGGCGCGAAGCCATGGACGCAGAAATCAAGGCCCTGGAGTCACGTGACACCTGGGTGCTCGTCGACCGCGTAGCGATCAAAGGAAGGAGAGTGCTTTCGGGGAAGTGGGTCTTCCGCGTGAAGACCGCAGCTAACGGGACAATTGAGCGTTTCAAAGTGCGCTGGGTCATACGCGGTTATGATCAAAGGCATGGCATTGATTTCGATCATACCTTCGCTCCGATCAGCCGTCATACCTCCGTCAGAATTATGCTCGCCATCGCTGCAACAAGACACTTACCTCTCCGCCAGATCGATGTGAAGAACGCGTTCCGATACGCGTTAGTAGACGCAGTAGTTTTTGTGGAGCAGCTACATATTTACGGCAAAAGGGACCCACGTGTCTGCCAGCTGAAGAAGTCCCTTTACGGGATCAAGCAAGCACCACGGCTCTGGCAGCAGCATCTGCACAAAATCCTACTCGAGATAGGATTCACGCAGCTGCCGCACGACCAACGCTGGAGCTTGAAGTCGCGACGTGCCACGTCTTCGGGACTCCATACAATCCTCTTTCGGGACCCGCAACGGAGCGCCTTCAATGGATATTACGAGGACGAAGGCGCGAAACTTTCGACGCGCATGGGGAGCCGCGCCCCTACATCAAGGAAGCTTTTTCTGGAGTTATACCCCCACTGGCGCGATCCGATGAAGAAACTCATTGTCGAAGAAGAAGAGGAGCTGGCACACCGCGAAGCCAAGGAGCTCCACCGAAAGAGCATCGCCGAAGCACGCGGAACATTCGCCTGCAGCGCATGGGGCGAAGCGAGCGAAGAAGGCGCCTTCAACGAAGGGCGGTGGGGCAGCAACGGCAACTGGGGAACCAGCAGCGGCGGTACCTGTGGCAACACAGAAGGCACCAAGGAAATCTTGCACCACGTGTCACTCCCCTATGTGTATCCGCCACGTGGCAACCTATCGCCACACGTGAAGTGGACGGGCAAGAAAGGGGACACCTCCATGCTCCGCGTGTGGGGATGTATGGTGCAGTACTGGCCCCCTACCTCAAATATTGGGAAATTCACGAGCCGCGCGCGCTGGGGCATTCACCTCGGCATCAGCTACAAATACAATACCTTGATTATCCTCCACCTGCTCAGCAGCAAGATCACACACACACGACATTATCTTCTACGAATGGCTTACTCTCGCACAGTTTCGTGCGGACGAGCAAGCAGGCGCAAACCAGGTGTACGCGAACAACGGGCGCAGTTACGCTATTCCCGAAGAGGAAGCACCCGCGGTTATCCTGGACCAGGACAAGACCAGTGAGTTCCCTGACATCGATCGTTGTCGCGATGACGACGATGACAGCGACAACAACGAGTCACCTTCGGGACCTGCGGGAGGAAGTCGTAGGGACCCCGCACCACCAGCTCCACCTGGGCCAGAAAGCGATGACAACAACGTGCAGGAGGTCCTCCCACAGCATCTCCATAACACCACCGTCTCTGGACTACAGCTGCTGGGGCTTCACGCCGCCACCTCACGGCTCCTCGCGTCATCAAGCCGAAAAATCCGCGACAGGCACTGACGGGACCACACAGCAAGAAGTGGCGCGCAGACATGGATGCATAAATCAAGACGCTGGAATCCTATGACACGTGGGTGCTCGTCAACCAAGCGGCAATCAAGGATAGACGGACACTCTTGGGAAAGTGGGTCTTCCGCGTGAAACCGCAGCGAACGGCACCATCAAGCGCTTCAAGGCATGATGGTTCGTGCACGGCTACGACCAGCGTCACGGCATAGACTTTGATCAAACCTTTGCCCCGGTCAGCCGCCATACCTCCGCGCGGATTCTACTCACCATCGCTGCAGTAAGGCACCTGCCGCTCTGCCAGATTGACGTGAAGAATGCATTTCTGTATGCGTTAGTGGATGCGGTGATTATTGTGGAGCACCCACATACTTACGGACAAGGAGACTCACGCATGTGCCAGCTGAAGAAGTTCCTTTACATGATCAAGCAACCACCAAGGCTCTGGCACCAGCACCTGCATAAAAAATCCTACTGGAAATCAGATTCACGCAGTTGTCGCACGATCCCAGGATGTACCGCCTGCATTTTTACGGCGATTACATCCTGCTCACGGTGTTCGTGGATGGTTTTCTCTACACATGCACGAGCAACACGCTGCTCGACCAGTTTAAGAAGAATATGGCGATGCGCGTCGACATCACCACGAACCATGACGTGACGCAGTTCCTGGGTCTAAATATCTCCTATGCCCCTGAAGCTATTCACCTCTCAGCTTCCAAGTATGCTGAAGCACTTGGGAAACGGTTCAAGATTCCTCCCGCACCACTCTCAACTCCCTACCGCATGCCAGGACCGAACCACAATCCTGATAACAAAACCATATCCCTTGCAGGACTGCACACTTACTAGCAGCAGTTGGGATGCCTGCTCTTCGCCTCAGTGACCTGCAGGCCCGACCTCTCCTACATCGTGAGCCAGTTGGCCCAGTACTCGTGCAAACCACTCCTAGGCAGGCCCCAAGATTGGTTTTGGGGTAGGCTGAAATTGCAGAGTTCGCTGGCAAATTTGCGCTGAAAATCAGTCATAAGTGCCATCAGACATAACCTGGGAGTCCCGGGTACTTGCCGAGCCGATAATACGAACCAGACAATTGTACAAGACATGCACTTTCTGGGGCTCTGGCTCCACCGCTTTGACGATCCTCGGGGCGTCTCAGACACTGCTTCGATGCTGCTACACAAGGGCGTTAGTGGGCGGAAAATAGGCGCAGTTCCACCAGTACTTGTAGTTGCTGTACGTGCATTTCCGGGGGCTCTGACTCCAGCAGCTGGACGGCGCCTGGCACGTGATGTTATTGCACTGGATGCGCTGGCAGCACATGCACTGGCTGTAGCACGAGTCGTAGTTCGTCTGCATCTGCGTGGACGTGCCACCCAGCGTGTTGCTGGTCGCGCGGCACACGTTCTCACAAACCGTCTGCTCCACCGCACAGCATTTCCCGGGCATGAAGCCCTGCAGGATGGTGCAGTCTTCCTCCACAGGCTTCCAGCTGGGGTAAGGGCATGCGCTCCACGTGCATCCGTACCCGGCAGCTGGGGCCAGGCCGGTGCGCCCAGTGCAGGCAGCGCTGCAGCCGGAGCAGACGCCACTCTGAACCGGCACCCCGTAGTTGCAGACCGCATCGCAATAGGATGGGTACGTGACGTAGTCTGCCCCGCACACCGGGAGGGACTGCGCACAGCCGCAGTCGAGGATCCCCACGCGCGCGTCGCACGGGATGATGAGCTGGGTGTTGGCTACCAGAGGGGAGGTTTCCAGGATGTTGTTTGCCGCGGCGATGGCGGCGGGGGAGATGGAGGAGGTGGTGCAGCGCGTGATGAACCTGGAAGAGATGAGGGCGAGGGAGTCCCCGGACTGCACGGTGTAGAGCGAGAAGGAGGTGGTGTTGGATGCGGTGAGAAGCGATGCGAGAAGTGGGGAGTTGATGCAGACCTTCTGGCCCACTTGGAGGTAGGGGGCTTGGCACTGAAACGGGGATGGGGTGTAGCGCATAGGGAAGATTGAATTATGAATGAATGAACATGTGGGAGGAACATCAGATGAAGAAGCAATGACTTGTGTTGCCCGAGGTTGAAGCCTCATGAAGCTAGAATTGGAGGCTCACCCGGATGCCGGGGTTGATGGCGAGGAAGGTGGACTCGGTGAGGTTGGCGGCGTTCCAGATGTTGGGGCAGTTGTCTCCCTGCAACACCATGTACCATGTCGTGCAGTTCACTGCCGTCTGCGGGCGGGAGGGGAGGAGGGAGGGAAAGAAAGAGAGCAGCGAGAGGGGGTGCGGCAGTAAGACAGCAGCTGTGTAGCACCGTGTGTGCCGTATGGTGTGCCTCCACCATGACTTGCAGAGAAAGGCATGGCGCAAGGGACAAGGGACGGGCATATACTTCAAGCATTTGCAAAAGGGACTTTGAGGCGTTCCCACTCCCTCTCGTAACACATGCCGCAAGGGAGTGGGGACGTCTCAAAGTCTTCCCGCAACGCACATGGGAGCTCTTGGGGGCGACGCAGACGTACGACCCCACGGGGAGGGCAGTGGCGCATGAGAGTGCGCTGTTGAGCCCCATGAAGGCGCCCAGGCTGATGGCGAACTTAGTCGCCACTGAGGAGCACGTGTCGCCCGCCACTGTGGTGTACGTCTGCCCGCACTGTGGGACCGAGGTGGCTGCCAGCGACGAGAGCGAGCTGGTGGCCGTGCAGATGACCTGCGCAGGCAGTGGGGAGACGAAGCGAGTCGTAGACACGTCAGTAACTTGGTGTTTCTTTGAGAAAAAACTGGACAAAAAAAAAAAAAAACCAAAAAAAAAAAAAAAAATCCGGATCAGGCAAACATGTTTAACAGCGACGAGGGAGCATGTGCTCGTGCTCACGCCACTTCTGGACTCCAGCACGCTCTGCAATTCTTCATCTCGACATCCAACATTGGGCTTTGCTAGTCTAGTCACGACTCCCTTGTTCAGCCTTGTTGGATACGTGGATGCCAATCAGGCCGCTGCCCCTGACAATCGACGTTCGAGAACCGGGTTCCTGTTCCGATTCGAGCCAACAGGGCCCATCTCGTGGAATTCGCAGAAGCAGGAACTCGTTGCCTTGTCATAGGCGGAAGCAAACTTCATCGCCGTGACAGCAGCAGTTCGCGAAGGGCTCTATCTTCACGAGCTCCTGCAGGAGGTAAAATTCCAACTTCGCCGACCTTTTGCCTGCACTGCGACAACCAGAGCGCGATCAGAATCGCGAACAAGGCGGGATTCGTCAAGCGCATCAAACACATTGCGCTACGGTATTTCTTCGTAAAGGACGAAGTCGACAAGGGCAAGGTCGATCTGACGTGTTGCCGGACCAGTGACAGGCAGCTGGTTTTCTCATGAAGTGATTGCCCCGTCAGCAGTACCAGCACTGTGCCGAACTGAGCAGAGTGGTCAATGTCAGAATATTATGCTCTAGCCTGTAGTGGGGTGCTCTATAGCAAGTACAACCCTTCTAGGGTTTGCTATTTGTATCCTCATTCTTGCTAGTGCAACCCCTCCTTCTTTGCCTAAACTGTTTCTTGCCTAGCTAGGGCTTTCCTAGCTATGGTGCCTTCTTCTACTGCTTATTTTCACATGGTATCAGAGCGATATGCTCCTGGCCTGTGGGCCCCACCTCACTGCTTCCGCTGCTACTGCTACTCCCTGTCCGCCGCGCGCCCCGTGGTGCGCGGCGTCGAAATTAGGGTTTTTCAGCCCGCCGTGCGCCCCGAGGCGCGCGGCGGTTTTCTGCCCGCCGTGCGCCCCGAGGCGCGCGGCGGTTTTCTGCCCGCCGTGCGCCCCGAGGCGCGCGACAGGTTTCTGCCCCGTCACTCGGCGCGTCGCCCCCAGGAGGCGCTACGACGGGCGACGGGGACCCGCGCGTCGCCCCCCGTCGCCCGTCGTGGCCTGCGCGCGGCCCGTACAGCCGGCGCGCGGCCCGTACGGGCTGCGCCAGGCCTGCGCGCGGCCCGTACGGGCTGCGCCAGGCCCGCGCGCGGCCCGTACGGGCTGCGCCAGGCCCGCGCGCGGCTCGGGCCGCCTGCGCGCGGTTCGGGAGGCTGTGCCAGGCCCGTGGGCGGCCCGTTCTTCGCTGCCCCTGTCCTCCCCGCTGTCCCCCGTGCTTCTGAAGGCGCCCCACCCCTTCTTCTGCCCGTTCTCCTGGATTAGGGTTTGGGGGTGGGGGGTATGGGGGTGCAGCTTCTGTGTGCCGTTCCCTGCTCCTCCTCCTCCTCCGTCTCCATGTGCTGCAGCTGCCGCTGAGGGGGGGTGGACCTGTTGGAGCCGTCGGAGTGGTACTAAGGGAGGGTGAAGGGGGAGTGGAGCTAGGGGTGAAGCAGGGGGTGTGTGTCAGGGGGGGTGGTACTGTTTGGGGGAGGTTGAACAGAGGTTGCCGTCGTGTCGCCAGCAGCACCTGTAGTCCGGGGAGTTGCTCCGGTAGCCCAGTCGTAGCCACCTGTGCCAGTCGCCCGTGGGTCCGTTGCTCGTCTGCCGCTACTTTTAGCCGCGGGGCCAGTTACTCCAGTAGTCCGGAGCGCTGTTCCGGTAGCCGCTGTGCCAGTGTGCCTCCTGTTGCCCGTGTGTCTGCAGCTTCAGCCGTCGCCTCCTATCTCCTCTCCTCTCACTGTCCCTCCTCCTCCTCACTTGCCCGTTGTGACTACCACTAGCTTTGCTCATAATTGTGAACTTTAAACTATTGCTTCCTGAACTTGTGCTCAGAATGTGTGGTGACATTGTGATCCACCCTGAGCTTGTTCTGCTTTGCTTGCTCTGCTGATTACACCCCACTTTGGCTATGGGGGTGTGTCAGAATATTATGCTCTAGCCTGTAGTGGGGTGCTCTATAGCGAGTACAACCCTTCTAGGGTTTGCTATTTGTATCCTCATTCTTGCTAGTGCAACCCCTCCTTCTTTGCCTAAACTGTTTCTTGCCTAGCTAGGGCTTTCCTAGCTATGGCGCCTTCTTCTACTGCTTATTTTCACAGTCAAGCGGGTCAAGACTTTCTACAGCCAGGAATGAAGGGGGGTGTTACGATAATTGAAATATTGCGCATACCTATTAGTAGCAAACGAGACATGCTGTAGAGAGTGTTGCGATCAGAAGGTTGATCGTGCCTAGGATCACCTCCGGAAGGTTCGCAGAGAGTGTGTTGCAGCGAAAGAATTGACCTCAGGTTAGAGTGAATATATAATGACTGAGATGCTTAAAAACAAGGGCATACATGATTTAATATAGTAGTACAAAGGAATACGAGACAACCTAGACTAGCCATATACTCTAAGGGGTACATTCCCTTATTGCAGCTAAACTTAACTGTGCGACTCAAAACGGTTACGAACCTGTTCCCACCTTTATCCTTGCTCCTGCATCTGCTCCGACGGTCAAGATGCTGCCAACCGTACGCGACTCTTCACGTCATTCCGTCTTTTTGCCTTTGTACTCGACTTTGCATTCCTCGCTTGGTAATGATAGGAGTGCACTGTACTTCTCAATTTACTATTCGTAACACCCCCCTTCACTCCTGGCCGTAGAAAGTCTTGACCCGCTTGACCACTCTGTTGAGTTCGGAGTAGTGCTGGTACTGCTGACAGGGCAATCGCTTCGTGGGCTGCCATATCACCGGTCTGGCAATAGGTCAGATCGACCTTCCCCTTGTCAACATTGTCCTTCACGAAGAAGTACCTCAGCGCGATGTGATTGGTGCGGTTGACGAATCCTGGCTTGTTCGCGATTCTGATCGCGCTCTGGTTGTCACAGTGCAGACGAAAGGTTGGCGAAGTTGGAAATTTCGCCTCCTGTAAGAGCTCCTGTAGATAAAGCCCCTCGCGGACTGCTGGTGTCGCGGCGGTGAATTCAGCTTCTGCTGATGACAGGGCAACCAGTTCCTGCTACTGCGAATTCCAGGAGATGGGCCCCGTTGGCTGGAGGTGGAACAGGAACCCAGTTCTGGACCGTCGATTGTCGGGGTTAGCAGCAAGATCGGCGTCCTTGTAGCTGATGAGGTTGAAGGAAAGGGTCGTGACTGTGGAGTAGCAGAGCCCAATGTTGGGCGTGGAGATGAAGAATTGCAGGGCGCACTGAAGATCTAGGAGATTTTCGGCAGTTGGTTTGCGAGAGTACTAAGCCAGCTGGCTCGCAATGTAGGAGAGGTCGGGCCTGCAGTTCACTGAGGCAAAGAGTAGGCATCCCAGCTGCTGCTGGTAAGTGTGAAGACCTGCAGGGGATAGGGCTTTGTTGTCGGGTTTGTAATTTGGTCCGGGCGTGCGGTAAGAGATGATTGGCCTCTAGCGCGTAGGTGATATTAAGGCACAGGAACTGCTTCACGTCGTGATTAGTGGTGATGTCGACGCACATCGCCAGGTTCTTCTCGAACTGGTCAAGCAGCGCATGCCCTCATGTGGCGGTGCGCATCACTCAGCTTCGGCGATCGCGGCGAGTCCCCTGCAGGCGATGTTGGTGTTTGTTGAGGCAGTCGGCGTGTGGCAATCCCTGCAGATGCCATTAGGTTCGGGTTCGTGCAGAGCTACTTCGTGCCAGTGTGGGTGGTGCGGCACCCAGGGCCCCGTCAAGGTGCTTCCACTCGGAGCAGTGGATGTGCTCGAAGCGGAGCGGGATGAGGTCGATGAGCTCATCCGTGTCGCCGCTGCAGTCCGTGATGTCAAAATCCAGGACATATACGCCGTTGTCGACGTGTGCTTGTCGGCGTGATGTTCGCCACTGTGATGTAACATGGGGGTGGGAACAGCATTGGAGATGAAACACGTGGAGCCCACCATGTGTTGCCCGCATCAACTATCAAGGTACCACGTGTTGTGGTGCTTGTGGTCATCGCGCGCGAGGAGCGCAAGTCGCGGCGTGACGATGTGCGGGGTGTAGAAGTTAAAAAATTGTTCGCGCGCGGTCCAATCGATGGGCGCCGCTCTGGATTCAGGGATGTGCATGGGGGCTTTTAAGTAGCGGGACTGGCAGATTCCAGTCTTGGTCGTCGTCGTCGTTGTAATTATGGTCTGACATGAAGGGATTGTTGCTGGTGGAAGCAAAAATCGAATCTTGCGTGGGCTCGGGTGATGGAGTGCGCACGTGCCGACGATGGATTCATCGTGTATGGCGCATCGCCGTGTTGTTGAGGACATTGCGCGAGCCTCCAGGTTGTGCCGGCTGCTGATGTTGGTGCTGAATCGTTGGGTTCATGTTGCGCGGTGCGGGCCGAAAGCCCTAGGC